ATAGAATGGCTGGCACTTCTGTCATGGTTCTGGTAGACGGCTGGTATGTTGCCTCCGCCAGGGCTGTAGACACAATAGCTCCTAAATGCCCTTTCCAGTGCAGAGCCCGACCAGCATCCTGGTTTAACCAGCAGTTTTGAGTTATGAAGCAGAACAGGAGAAGGCTGGAGAGCATTTGTAGGTGGAAACGACAGAAAACAACTTAAAAACTGCCAAGATCATGCCTAACCTTTACCTAGTCAAGGTAAAGGCTGCCAGAAAAGCGTACTTCACTGTCCAGATAAGCGAAGCATCTAACCAGCAGGCAGAATGCTTCCATATAGTACGTCCTCTATCCGGAGTCAGTCACAATGACTGACCTCCACTTCTTCTGACCAATTTGCATCATTTAAAAAATCAAAAGTGGAGGCCATCCACTGGGATCTAGCACCCTTTTTGAAAACAGTGGATTGAGCTGAGACACCCCGCTCAGTGTCTTGTCCGTTGTGAATTACTCAGTTTGGACCTGTGACATCCGCAAAGGTGGACAAGGTCCTTGATTGTTTGCCGAGCCACCACATCCTTCCTTGATCCTTGCCGGGCCTGGCTAATCAAAACAGCCAGGCCAGTACCAATTGAATGGGCTCCTGCAATAATAAATGGGTCTCTTTGGGAGGTTCCTCTTGCCCTCAAGAAAACACTCATTAGGCCCATTAGGAAGAAACCAAGCTTGGTGGTGGACAATATTGGCAATAATAAGCCCATCGCCAATGTTTCCTTCCTTAGCAAGGTAGTTGAGATGGTGTTGGCTGATCAGCTTCAGGCTCTCTTGGATGAAACCAACACTCTGGATACATTTCAGTTGGGCTTTAGGCCCTGCCATGGCACGGAAACAGCATTGATTGCCCTGCTTGATGACCTATTGAGAGAGGCCGACAGGAACAAAACGTTCTTGTTGGTCCTCCTCGATATCTCAGCTGCCTTTCATGCCATTGACCATGGTATCCTCCTGGAGAGGCTCTCTGAGTTGGGGATTGGTGGCCTTGCTCTCACTTGGCTCTGATCCTTCTTGGAGAGTCATCCTCAGAGAGTTCGGCTTGGGGACAATGTATCAGAACCGTGGTCCCTCAATTGTGGGGTACTGCAGGGTTCGATCATCTCCCCAATGCTGTTTAATATCTATATGAGGCCACTGGGACAGGTCATCTGGGGGTGTGGAGCCACATGTCACCAGTATGCTGATGACACTCAGCTCTACATCTTTTTTCATCTGCAGTGGATGCCATTTTATCTCTTGAGCATTGCCTGGGGGTTGTTCTGCAACGGATGCAGTTGAATGGACTGAGGTTGATCCCCGAGAAGACAGAGCTCTTGCGGGTTGGCACTCCTGATGCCAGTGATTTGGGAAACTCCCTCTTTTTTGAGGGGGGACTCTCACCACAGAGAGTGTGGTTCACAGTCTGGGGATTCATCTTGAACCATGGAGACCCAGGTAGCATCCATGGTTTGGTCTGCCCATTTATATCTTCGGCGGATCTCCCAGCTGCGTCCCTGTCTAGACGCAGGGGCCCTCATCATGCTTGTTCATGCGCTCATAGTCTCTCAAGAATAGACTACTGTAATGCTCTGTATGTGGGGCTTCCTTTAAGACTGATGCGGAAGCTTCAAATAGTCCAGAACACAGCGGCCAGGCTATTAACAGGGGTGAAAAGATTCCATCATATATCCCCATCCTGGCTGCCTTATACTGGTTACCTATTCACTTCTGCATCAATTTCAAGGTGCAGACTATTACATACAAAGCCCTAAACGGTAGGTCCTCGATACTTGGCAGAGTGCCTTCTTCCACTTAGTTATGCCCGTTCCACCCGTTCTAGCCAGGCTGGGTGGCTGAGGGGCCTAACTCCAAAAAACCGGGCCTTCTCGGCAGTGGCCCCTCATCTCTGGAACAACTTACTGTACCAACAGAAATCCGCCTGGCCCCCTTTGCTGAGGGCCTTCAAGTGCAAACTAAAGACCTGGCTCTACATGCAGGCCTTCCCAACTTAGCTTTACCTCTTCTTTTTCCTTTTTCCCCAACTTGGACTCTTGTAGTAAAAATGGGTCTTATTTTTTAATGCATTTATGTTTTCATTTATTATATTTGTATCTTTTTGTTTTTGTATTTTGTGTCAACCACCCAGAGTAGACATGTTCTAGATGGGCAGTATACAAGTCTAATAAAATAAATAAATACACTTTGTGGCCTGATCTGACTCACAATAGGTTTTGGGGCTGGAAAATTGGCCTTCAGCTTTGCCTTTCCCGGGTCATCTGCAATCATCCTTCACTACTGAGGAATGCTCTGCATTCAATTCCTTGGCTTTTCTGAAGAAGGAGAGGGGCAGGCTTTATCTGCTTAATAAACACACAACCTATTTTGTTCACTTCCTGCAGAAAGGAAATAAAAGAACAGCCATTAACAGATGTGAGGGCAGGCAATTCTTGTGACTTGATGGACACAGGGGTGTTGGATATCTGTGTGCAACACAAAATAGAAGTTCTTTCTGTAACAGGAATACAATTACCATCTTGGTTACCAAGGCAGGAATTATGGCAATATTATGTGTGCCATAAATCCATGCACAATAAATATATCTTTTCTGGGTGTCTGAACTCTGACAAGCCTATTCCAATTAATTGGCCAGTTAATCACTACCAGCCTGTAATAAGCTGTTAGCACCTGTATCTCTGATCAGCTAGGATGGCTTTGATTTTTGTTGTTCTTGGTCTTCTCTCCCCCTTCTTGACAAGAGGGTGATAGCGGATATCCTTTAAACGTACATTTAATGAAGCCCTTCATAAATCCATCAGCAGTTGCTAACGGAAATGACAATAAAATGTGCACTGCTACAGGCTTTTTGTGGAGAGGCTGTTTGACATAATGATACCACAGTGCTTTAGGTAGACATGGAAAATATATAGCAAAACTAGAAGGATTTGGAAAAAATAAGCACATAGTGGTAAGAATGAAGGTGAAAGTTGGGGAAAACAAAGTCATTGCCACATTTTCTCCCATGTCTTGATAAAACATTGTCACGTTTTGTCTTTGTGACCATACTGTAGACATAAGAAACCTAAACGGGAGGAAGGTCGCTGTAAAAGGAAGAGACATTTCATGACTGACATGCCCACATCAAGAGTGGGATGGTCATCAGAAGTCCCTCTAGCATGATAATACTAGTTCAAGATGCATGATAGGAAAGTATAATCTGTGCACTGCAAGTTAATTTAATGTTCATGTGTTTTTTATGCATGTGCACTGGCAACAAAATGGAAATCTCCTTCTCTTCAAAGATCTATCTTCTAGAAGTCTGAGAAGGAAGTGAAGCCAGAACAACACAATAAGGCAGAGACCATGATTTACTCCTGATAGGTAAGGGGAGAGATTATCCTTGATAAAACAGACAGAATGCTGCAATATGTGGTGTAGAGGAATTACTTATGGCTTCTGCCCTCAGTGCTGTTGTAACTGTTCCAAGTAAAAACATAGAATAATAGAAAGTGAAGTTGGAAGGGGCCTACAAGGCCATCAAGTCCAACCCCCTGCTCAATGCAGGAATACAATCAAAGCATATCTGCCAGGTGATTATCTACGTTTTTCTTGAATGCCTCGAATGTTGGAGCACTCACCAACTCCCGAGGTAATTGGTTCCACTGTCGTACTGCTCTAACAGTTAAGATTTTTTTTTCCTGATATTCAACATGATTATTTTGTGGTTTTGGACAACTCCCCATATTCCCCAGGCAACCATGCCCACCAATTTCAAGTCCAATTTCTAATGACATCATTATTTTCCTTCTTGGCTACAAGGAGCAATATCACACTTACTCCTTGTTTTAATAAGAGCAACATTAACAGTGTCATTTTTTGGTATAACATTTATTCCTTATTTCAAAATGCTAGCTTGGTTGGGTTCTCCCCCCCCCTCGTTAATTTAAAAGTTGCTACTGATAGTCACAAATCCTTTTAACTAATGTATCAGGTTTTAATCATATACCCTTGACCGAAGAACGGTACACTCCTATCTGGTATGGTCATCCTCTTCCACTAAGCATGCAGCTTCGGGAGGGATGCATATGGAGCAGGGAGGGAGGGAAGGGACACCCGCCCAGCCAGCCAGATGAGCCAATTCAAAATTATCCCACAAATTTTGTATGGCATCCCAATCCACTTAAATGCCTGGACAGGTCAATTGAAGGGATACAATCTCAATTCTTATGTAAAGTGCTATGGTTACCAAGTTGTGTTCCCTACTCAGTGCTTTGTCTAGAGACCAGATTTTCCTCTTTGGTAACAATGGCTTGGCTGAGATCATTTCAATTCTGGCTAAAACTTTTCTATAACTATGACCCAGAGAGGTTTTTGTACCACCTATTGCAGGACTCCAAACTTCCCTTAGGAATACTGCCTTTTTTAAAAAACTGAAATGGATTGGCTTAGTGACTCCTTAGGCTCACCAAATCAAGGGCAAGCCTTCCAAATGATCAAAAGAATTTTGGACATTGAATTCCAGGAATTATGGAATGCAGCCAATAAGACCTGTTCACCACTGTTTTCCCACAACCCCTTTTAGAAAACCAGCTGCCTTCCTTTCCCTGCTTAAGTGTCCACAAAAACACAGGGCATTCTCCCTAGCCAGATGCAATGTCATGTCTGCAGCTTTACTATGTGGTAGGTTCAAATAAATTCCGTACCTTGAAAGACAGAACAGTAATAGCTGATTTGAAAGCTGAGAAGCCAGATGATGGCTTCAAAAGGCTTCCGCCATATTAAGCATAGTGTTTTAGTCTAGTTTAACTCCTCGTCCCTTACAAAACTAGAGTATCTTGTATCTTTTGGAATTGTTTGGCTGTTTGCTTGCAGATTTGTGGAAGACTTTTATGTCTGCATCATTTAGGCAGGTTGCAGAATTTTAATTGTGCAGGCTTTTCCTTTCTTTTAGCACAAAATCTAAACAACCTGGGTCTCAATGTGTCTTGTTTATTGGAAGTGCTGCAGCAATGCAACAAAAATGAAGGTGAGGTGCATCAAGTGTGAAAAAGTCATCCCAAATTTATTCTCATATCATCAACAGAAATGCATCAGTAGGTAAGACAAAAACAAAATGTAACACTACACAGAATTTGCTTTAAAAGTTCATACATTCACAATGTAAGAAGAGACATGAACTTGGGATGCAACTTTGGTATGTTCCATGTAACAAGATCCATTTTACAGTGTAAACAGATTGTGTTCTTACTTTACAAAGTCCAGCAAGAAAGGCACAACTTGGCAAAAAAAAATTCATTCTAAGTGAAATAAAATAAACTAAAACACTTGGGAGACACATTTAAAAATGGTTCAGGTGCAACAAAATTATACAAGTAAGGGTAGTTTGAGGGGGTAGAATTAAAAATAAATGCACTGTTTCTTGGGCCTTCTGCATGAGCAAAGCTGGACTCTGAAGTGAGAAAAAAAGACACATTTTTATTCAAGTCCTTTTAATACCAAATGGTTAGCTACATTTTCCAATGTAGATTTACATCAACCCACAGAGATATCCTGCAGATACAAAGAGGAGAGTTGGGGGGGTGGGAAAACCAAACACAAAATACTCTGCCCACCCCACAACACACATGACAAAACAAATTCAGATATTCCTAGCAGTATATCATATTTTGATTCAAATAGTGCACAGTAGCCCCTGCTTGGATCTCAAGCTCATTACAGTGGTTATTTTATAGAAAAATAGACACTCAGCACTACAAAAGAACAAAATAGTAATAATAACAATAATAATAATAATAATAATGAGGTAGATAACTTAAGAATCCAGCGGGCCATCCCAGTAACCTTCATACAATACAAATGCCATCAGGTTTTATTTTGGTCCCCCTGCCCCCCAAAATGCAAATATATAAAGTCCAGAGGAAACTTAGCCCCCCCCCCAAGAATTTCTTCGACATAAGCTCAATTGAAACGAACCGGATTTCCTGCACAGGAAGATGAAACCTGTGCAGGTTAACATCTGGGTGGATTGTGCCCCACATTTCTAAAGTGGAAATGCTGTAACAAAAGAACATAGTCTCCAAGAGACGTACTTCATCTTGAATACAGACTTTGATAGATTCATCACTAAACAATGGGGGTTGGGTGAGGAAGGGGAACCCTACGAAGATCAAAGATGCATGTATGAAGGAAAGACTTATTCGCAGGAAGGGAAATGTTTCCAAAATGCAGTCACCTGAGATTCCTGGCAGAACATTCAAAAGAACACAACCCTCCTCAGCATTTGATTCCCTTTTGACAGTATATACAAAGGAAGTTCGCCCTCCCGCTCCCGTTGCCGTTTCTTGATTTCGAAGCTATTCCAACATGCTGCCCCCATTCTGTATATCTATTCGGGGAGAACAACTCCAGTTAAACGTTAGACTTTTTGGCACAGTTCTACAGATGGTGGCGTGCATGTGGCATGTGTCCATGTAGTATTTAAATAAGCAGCACTCATCAATACAGAGTAATTACGATTTCTCATGGATAACAGTCAGTTTAAAAATGCAACGTTGCTTTCAAATGGCATTCTTCCAGATGAATTAGATTTGTGGGTTCAACAGGCATTATATTACATTCAAAAACTTATTTTTTAAAAAAAGAATTCTCACAAACAAACAAAAATAGATACTACTCTAAAAGGGCGGCATTCTAGGATATTTACCCGCATAATTAACTTCCATGTATCTGTCATGAACTCCAGGAGTGCCACATCCCCTCTTAATGACCATTAACTTAAGAGTCTCCTTGGCTCAAAGTCACAAATGGTTTGATGCAAGAAAACAAAAACAAAACAAGAAACACCAAGAACTCCCCCCCCCTAAAAAATGAGGTAAATGTGATAACCTTTGGAATTTCATGTTGCAAAACGTCTAAGGTTTTACACATTAAAGTCACCCACACAAGAAATTCTTTGCAAGACCCGCATCTTTCCAATGATCCTAAATTGGCTTCACTATTGTTTTGCGCATAACAACGGCATGATTGTACTCTGGGCAACTCATACAAAGACAACCATAGAATCATTTGCACGTCAGTAGGAAAATAATGATACTTGAGGTGTAATCTCTTAAAAATATATATTTATATATACGCTTCTATACCAATCTCTCTTTGTTTTTTTTTTAAAAATCCATTCCATCTTCTCCCAAGTCTTCTTCATTTTCTTTTTAATTAACAGCAATATTGTTCTCTTCCATATAGTGAGGGAATTGGCGTTTGGGCACATTGTCTGTAGCAGTGCTGCTAGGCTTCTCCACCTCTGAGCCAATGGCAGACTGGGAACCATCCATCTGTGAGACTGTGGCGGAATTCATTGCTATGTTGACTGCTGGCCCTCCCCCAATTGTGGCTGGAAGAGAAGGAATGCCCCCACTCTGGATTACAGAAATCTCATTGGTTTTCATGGCTAAGCCATTGCTGAGCACCGCAGTATACTGGTTCCATGTGGCAGGATCGAGACTGACTGAGGCAGGCACAACTTCCTTAGGAAACATCTCTGACACCTTCTTGGGATCACTGCTGAGCAGAGCCATGGGGTTGTCGATGGAGAGTCTTCTTCCACGTCGTGCAGAGTTGCTCCACATGTGAGTTCCAACGTGGACCTGTCGGGGACACCGCATTAAGAAACAGAAAATAATGTAATTATTGTTCTATTTGTACAGATCCTGCAATACTCAAGGGGGGAAAGGCAAAATATTGTAGCACTAACAGAGCAGGATACAGAGAAAAGCTTATCAAGTGATTCAAAACCACAGATGTTTCAAGGAGGTGCATCTGAAAGTCAAGGCACAGCGTATACATGGTTGCAACACTCCTCTTCAACAGATACGGATGGGTAAGAGGTGCTGTGCCCAGACCTTCAAGAAGTAATTTACACAGGAGCAGGGAGTTTGTCGGAGCTATAAATACAGTGGTGCCTCACATAACGATGTTAATTGGTTCCATTAAAAACATCGTTATGTGAAAACATTGTTAAGCGAAACACCATTTCCCATAGGAATGCATTGAAAACCGGTTAATCCGTTCCAATAGGAGCCTATTCAATACATTTCAATGGTGAAAAAAAAATCACCAAAAATTCAAAGACTCAGAACGAAGCCAAATTACTTTAACGAAGGTTTTATTAGGTGCACTAACGATTCCAAGCATTTTAAACATTTTTTAAACATTTTAGAATATTTTTAAAATAGCGAAAACAAGGCTGTCAAAAAAAGTTACGCAAAACAGGGGACCTAAAACTGTCATCGTTAAGTGAAGCAAGGTCCCAAACATCATTATGCGAAAATCCCCCATAGGAAACATCGTTAGGTGAGGCAGCAAAATTTCCAGCAAAGGCCATTGTTATGCGAATTCATCGCTGAGCGAGGCACTCGTTAAGCGAGGCACCACTGTATGGAGGAAGCAGGACTGCTGCCTTGACGTGGTGAAGGGGCTTGAGTAATTCAGAGAAGCTATGGGCTATGCCGTGCAGGGTCACCCAAGATGGACAGGTCATAGTGGAGAGTTCTGACTAAATGCTATCCACCTGGACTGGGTAGGTGGGACTCATCAGCCCTGGAAGGCAGCCCATCTAGGAGAAGGAAAACTCCAATATCAAACCTCCACTGCCTTGTGGCTATATCCACTGATGGAAAAGGCTTCAGGAGTTAGCCTCGAGGCAAAATCCGGAGCCGGAGTCCCGGAGGCAGGTCATGTCGTTCTGCCAACTCCTGCGAGGTTGCTGGAACAAGTTGTATTGGCTCCTGCCTTTCCATTCGATCATTTCAGCAATGTGGAGAGGGGGGATCTGCTGCCTAGGTAACCGCCTATCCTCCATATTATTTTACCCAGGCTTCGTGCTCTGGAAAGGACACTCATACAGAGCACGTTACCATAGTCTCTCGAGACTGAAGTATGCCTAAGAGTCTAAGATAAGATAAACTTTCATTTTGTTATTTCTTGCAAGTTTCAGGGTGTTGTTGTTGTTTAGTCATTAAGTCATGTCTGACTCTTCGTTACCCAATGGACCAGAGCATGTCAGGATGAAAACTGGTTAAAACTCATGCTGCCTTTCCTATGTGTTCCTTCTGTGTCCTGTAGCTAGCAAGAAAAGGAGAAGGATCAATTAATCTTCCTAGAAATACCTGCCCTATTCTGTGCCACACCACCAGAATGGCTAGTTTGCCGATTACAAAAGGCTTTCCCTGTTGCAGCACTTCAGTTCTGGAGCTTCCAAGAAAGTTAAGCTGGCTCCATCCAAAACAGTATTCTTCTGCATCACCTTTTGTTTTCAAAACTCTTTTAAAGATGGGATTTTAAAGTGGTTTTTAGTCTGCAAATCATTTGTGGGGCCCTGGTGGACAGAACTTTTCCATAAATAAAAAATAAAATGTAGAGCCCACTGCCTTTCACTTGCTCACCTTGAGGTTCCCTTTTGTAGTGAACGCCCTTCCACAGATGCTGCACGCAAACGGCTTCTCCCCCGTGTGAGTCCGCTCATGAATCTGAAGAGCACTTGCTGATGAGAAGTTCTTGCCACAGGTAGTGCAGAGATGCTGCCTGGCAGTACGGCGAGGGAGCGGCACCAAACCAGGAGGCACACCAGGTGACAATGCAGGGGGCCCAATAAAACGGGTCGCGCTCATGGGACGGTCGCTAGGAACTTCCATTTTTATAAGGGCTGGGGGTGCTCTGACAAACGCCGCATGGACGCTGTTTTGGCCTGAAGGACAATAAGAGGGACAGGCTGCTTGTTGGTAAACCGTTCGCATCAAATATTACATGGGTAGCTAAGGCTGCATAAACCCTTGAAACATGACACCAGTGTTTTCATCAACATTTTACCTAGACAACTACAAACAAATGATACAATCCTATGCTCAGAGACAAAGGAGAGAGCTTCTTTGGAAAAGCTTCTGCTGGTTGTGGTCCGAACACTCAACCCATTGGTGGACTTAACAGCTTCTTGCATTGTTTCATAGGAGGAGACAATGAGACAAAAACATGTACACAATGGAAAACAAAAACTTTTGTTGAAAATGTCTATCCATATGAATCATCTTTTTCAAAAACGCAGTTTTTACAGGCCTCTGATATTGCCTGTTTAACAGGAAACATGAAGCAGTCTTAAAATTGCCTTTTCATGTTGTTTAACACCTTATTTATTATTTATTTTATTTACTCGATTTATACTCCGCCCATCTAGACCAAAGTCTACTCTGAGCTAACAATAAGACTTAAAATTAAAAGGAATATAATAAAATAAGACCAACAGTGACAGTATAATTCAAAATGGCAAAGTCATTAGGTGATGACAGGAGGGAAAGCCTGCCTAAAGAGCCAGGTCTTAAGTTTGCTCTTAAAAACACCCAGCGAGGGAGCCAGACAGATCTCTGGGGACAGACTATTCCAAAAGCGAGGGGACACTGCTGAGGAGGCCCAGTTTCTTGTTCCTTCTCTCTGGGTCTCCCTTGGCGTTAGGCCCCTCAGCCGCCCGTCCTGGCTAGAACAAGTGATTCTGGTAGATCTAGATGGGAGGAGGCATTCTGCTAGATCTTGAGGTCCTAAACTATTTTGGGCTTTATATGTCATCATTAACACTTTGAAAGCTGTGCGGAAACACACAGGCAACCAGAGTGGGGGAAAAATATGCTTGTATTTTCTCGCCGTGTTCTGCACCATTTGAAGCCTCCACATCAGTCTCAAAGGTAGCCCCACATAGAGCGTATTACAGTAGTCTAATCTCAAGACTACAAATGCATGGACCAGAGTGATGACCTTACTCTTTGGACAGAGCCTACATACAGGTGGCCTTGCAACTCTTCTGTGAAAACACTTTGAAGAGCACATTTGCAGTGTTGCTTCCAGGAAGCTGCTTCTTTGTAGCCCACACTTCCTTACGCTACCCACAGTACAATATGTGGGTGTTATTCATGAATACTTCCTTTGCTACCATCAACAACGGTGGAGAAAAGGGGAGGTCTGACACCAAAGAGGGAGCCATTGCTGTAATCCACAACACTAAAAATGCTTGATGTATTCGCGAAGGCTTTCACGGCCGGGATCTAATGGTTGTTGTGGGTTTTCCTCTGAAGATGCCAGCCACAGAGACTGGCGAAACGTTAGGAAGAACCACTTTCAGAACACGGCCAAGAAGCCCAAAAAACCCACAACATTTATTTGATTTCAGAAGCTAAGATGAAATCATTCCTGGTTAGTACTTGAATAAGAGACCACTGGGAGACACCCGGAATCTCCAGGTATGACAAGAATTCTTGAAGAGCAGGTGCCAGCCAAGAGTTGATAATCCTGAGCTAGAAGGACCAATGATGAAACTCAACACAAGGCCATATACTATGTTCTTATGAGACTAAAGCACAGGGTGTTGGGGGGCGGGGAGATACCTTTTTCAATCATGACTTCCAAAATCTCCAGAAAGCAGAATCAGTACTCATAATGTCTGGAGAATTTTGGAAGTTGTAGAATTAAGAATCTTTACTTTTTTGGAGTACAAGAGACAAATAGTCCTCTCTGGGCCCCACAAGATGATCTAGCTGAGACTGCCCAATTTGTTTATTAGAATATTTTTGTTGTTTAGTCGTTATGTCCGTCTCTTCGTGACCCAATGGACCAGAGCACGCCAGGCCCTCCTGTCTTCCACTGCATTCCGGAGGTTACAACTAAGGGAGGCTAAATTAACAGATCTTGTTTCTCACTGTGCATCCATAAAAGAGATGTGCATTGGCTCCACATCCTACTGCATACATTTATGCCTGCACAAGCTGATGATGTCACCAGCCATAGGCTTTATTTGCTCATTAAAAGTTTCCTATTCCATCTAACCCCAGTTTTCAGGGCTGCCTTAGGGCCCTTTGAGAACTGGAGAAGTCTTTGAGAACCCCAAAATATTTAGCTTTTAATGCCCCCAAATGGCAGCCAACAGTCCTGATCCTAGCAGCAGCAGCGATTTTCAGGTGTGAAAGCCTTCCCTAGGTCACAAGGGATTCTTAGAACATGGGGGTGGAACAGGAAACTTAATGAGTGATAATCACCTGTGGCCGATGACACAATCAGCTTTCACAGGCATACATTTACACAATAGGATTTTGGCCATTATCTAAATTAAACATGTTGAACTTTTAGGCAAACCACACTCTTCTTCTGCTTTTTTGTTGGGTGATGTATGTGAAAAGAGTCTCAACAGTCCAGTTTCGTGCCCAGTTAATCCCATGTCATGCAGAAGAGCTTTTTTGTTGGGTGATGTAAAATTGGCTGCTGTTGTGAAAAGAAAGACTCTCAACTGTCCAGTTTCATGCCCAGTTAATCCCATGTCATGCAGAAGACAGGGAGGCATACCTTGTGCAGGTAGGAGAGGCAGCACATCTGCTTCATATCTGTGAAACTCGCTGATTTAAGCCATAAATGGTTTGGTTTAAACAATTTAAAGTAACTTGGTGCAGAGCCTCTTTCTCTATTCCCATCAAGAATAGTGAACTTTGAAGGCAACGTCATATTTCTCAGATTTGTAGGCAGTCCATGGCCTGGGTGCCATAAACTGCTTGCTGCCAAAAAACTGCAGCATTATCAGCTTCCAGTCTTCCTACTTTCCTTTCACCGCAGGGCTGGGTAACATGAGTGCCTTGTGCCGTACAGAGCCTGTTGGCCGTTTTTAAAATCTCTTGCCTACCACAAGTGATGCCACCAAAATTTAGTAACAATGTGCTGGATAAAAAACCTGGGTTTGGCATTTAAAATAAGGTTCATGTGGAGCACATACCTTGTTTTCAAGCTAAACATGTGAAAGCACTATTCACCTTGAAAACAAGGTGTGTACTCTTCTTGAGCTTTCTTTATTTCCCCACAAAGCAACAAATTTCGCAGTAGTAGAGTGCTGGATAAAAAACCTAGGTTTAACATTTAAAACAAGGTTCATATAGAGCACATGCCTTGTTTTAAAGCTAAACATGTGAAAGCACTATTCACCTTGAAAACAAGGTGTGTACTCTTCGTGAGCTTTGTTTATTTCCCAATAAAGCAACAAATTTTGCAGTAGTAGACTAGGGTGCAGTCTGCAAATTCCATTCTGGGGGCAGCGTGCCTTCTTCAGAGGTTGCCCACCCTGTTTCAGACATTTTTCTCAAAGTAAGTGAACTTGGAAGTCCCCCGTGATTGTGTTTGCAATAGATTCAAGGAATCAAAGGAAAGCAATACAGATCTAGCCTAACTGCTAGTACTCTAGCTTTGACTCAGAAATAAAAGTTGGACAAATTCAGGAATAGCTTCCATATTAATAATATTGATAAGATAGGAAGGTTCTAGGTTTTCAAAGTAAAAATATCTCAGACCACCAGATACTAGAACAGACTTCTGCAGGTTTATGCCTGCCAGAGTTGTTGGACTACATCCTACATGCCCCATCATTCAGCCAGTGCTGGTTGTGTTTGCTGGTGATAGTGGGCTTTGTAGTTTAAAACACCTGGAGGTCATTCTCTTGCAGAAAGCTGTATTAGAGGCAAGCGTTGGGTAGAACTGTTGTCTTCGTATGCCTTATAGTTAGTACCTTTGCATGTATTAATTTGGCCACTGTCAAATAGGATGCACAATCTTGGTTCAGAATGGGAGTTCTTACATTTGCTGCTCACCCAGGACTGGAAAAACAAGGCATTTTGAAAAGGCTCCCAATGAGCTGTATGGCACCATTTGAATGGCTAAAGAGTGCCCACCTTTTAAAGACAAAAGTGGGGGCAAAAAACCCTGAATCCTTTCAGATGTTGTTGGACTGCAACTAATATTACTATTAGCTATGCTGAAGAAGGCTGATGGAGAGCCCCACTGTAGGTGTATCCAGGGTCACAAGTGGTTGCAGCCACAGATGCATCTCACATTTGTTCAATGGAGGAGAAATGGCATCAAGATATAATATCTTTCTTTGGTTTTATTGTTGGAGGGCAGAGCAGGATAGGGTAAAAAACCTAAGGTAGAACCTAATGAAAGATCTTAGGCTTGGGGAGATTTGGCTGAGAAGCCTGGAGGTCTGCATTTGGACTTCTTATTTATTTTATTAGATTTATACCCTGCCCATCTAGACAAATAGTCTACTCTGGGCAACATAAGCTTTGAATCCCAAATGCCCACCCTCTGATTTCAATCAGGATTTGCCGTAAGTAAAGTTAATAACTCTTCTTTAAATGACTCACCATACTCTCCATTTGGGAAATGTAACCCAGGTTCCTCTTTGATAACCTTGCGACTGACGTTTGCATAGGTGAGATCCAAAGCACTATCTTTTTCCACAGGATGAATTTCAGGACCTTCAGCCTTACTTCCCACCACACCATCTTCTTGGGCGCCAAAACCTGGAGATTTCGACCTGCTGCTCTCTGCTTGACTATTGGCTGGAGACAATGCTAGAAATGAAGCCGACTCAGAGACAACAGGACTGCGGCTGCCATTCGGATAGTCTGCATCACCTGCCCCTGAGGAAGAGTCATTGGTCATACCATCACTTTCTGCAGAGCCGTTATCACTGGACTTCAGGCTGTTTTGCCGCTGTAAGGTCAAAGCAGAATTCACTATCTTCATCTGGTTTTCAAGCACCGAAATGCTGGAAAACACTGAGCCTGGAGGATCACTGTGAGAACTGCAGGGCGCGAGGGGTTTAGAAGACTGAGGTGGTCCTTCCAGTGAGTCCAGCTCTCCTTCCACTTCCATAGTTTCTATCTTACTTTGCGGACAACATGGATCTCCATTTTTCTCAACTACAGTAGTCTCCACATCAGCACTATCATGGGTGCTTTCGGGGACAGGGGTATTAGGAATTTGTCCACCCATATGCATACGGATGTGCTGCTGCAAAACTACTGCATTTGTAAACTTCTTCTGGCAGATGGGGCAGGAGTGCTGCATCTTTAATGGTGTGTTGGCACGGTGCACTCCGTAATGAGTCTTAAGGTTGCCTTTGGTAGAGAAGGCACGGCCACAGATCTTGCACTTGAATGGCCTCTCGCCCGTGTGGGTGCGGTAATGCATTTTGAGGGAGCTCTGGCAACTGAGGACTCGGTGGCAGATCAAACATTTGTTGGGGTCAGCCGAGGATTTGTCTATGTTCTCCACCAACTGCTGGAGTTTGGTGGTTTCAGAACCTTGCTCACCAGTTCGGCCAATGTGGAAAGCACTCGTGCTGCACCTGGCTTGCGGAGAACTCCTGTTCTGCTCAACCCCTGATTCGTGACTTGATGGACCAGAGGAGGAACCCCCTTCACTTTCTGGAGAACGCCTAGGCTGTATGTCACTTGGAAGGGGACCACTAAAAGAATCCTTGCTGTTTACTAGGTGGCAAGTGTTCCGAGGTAAGCCTGCAGAGGTAGGCAGAACCGTCAAAATAGGCTTGGTATCTGCTATAAGGTTGGATTCATCAAGGGGAACAGACATCCCGTGAGGTATACCACTCTCGGTGGGAACGTTGTCTAGCTCTTCTGCGACTGGATAAGGATTCATTTTGATCTCAGGATACTTGTCTTTATGTCGCTGGAAATGCACTTTTAGGTTGCCTTTGGTCGTAAAACGATTGCCACAGATGTTGCACTTGTAGGGTCTCTCGCCGGTATGGGAGCGGAGGTGGATTTGGAGGGCACTGTCGTTGCCAAAAACCTTGCCACAAAACTTGCACTTGTGTTTGAAGAAAGTCTCTTCGGCGGTGGGCTTGGTTTCAGACACGTTAACATTGGGCACCTTGCCTTTCCCTTTCTTAGAAGGGTCAGCCATGGGGGAGACGGCAGACAGCGGGTTTTGGAAGATGACCGAACCGGGCGATTGAGGTAGCAAAGGGCTTGCGAAACGGGAGACAGAGTTTTGCAGGCTTCGGTTTGCATCGGGCTTCAAGATGGCAGCGGACGTGAGCCCACTGGCCACAGAGACAGCTGGAATGCCCACGTTCACATGAGGTAGTTTGCCTTGCTTCAAGGATTCCAGTGATAGGCTTTGGTTCCCAGCTCTCTGCCCAATTAAAGCCACAGCAGCTGACAGCTGTTGAGACATGTGAGCACCCAAGGCTTTGAGAGAGTCAGTAGCCGCCGCTGCCGCTATTGAAGGATGCAAGACGTGGGGGGCCATCATCGCTATCTGGACACGGATTTGCTCTGTCAGCTGTATCTGCTGGAGCTGCTGCTGTTGCAGACACACCAGTTGCTCAAGGATCATAGGAATAGCATTAAGGCTAGCTGTTGATGGGGAGATGGTCTCCGAGGTACACTGGTTGACTGCCACTTTAGTGCCACGGATAGTCTGCAAAGTCACGTTAGTGTTGGGTACTTTGGGTTTTGGTAGATAGCTTAGCCCGTGGGTTGTGGGAGGAGCAGAGGGCTCGGTTTTTTGATATATCCCTCCCACTGATCTGGTGTCCACTTTCTCTTCTCTCTTTTCTACAGGAGAGCAATTCTTCACATGACTCTCCTTGGCCATTCCGCTGTCCATTCGATTGCTCGGGAAAGTCCCCGAGGAACTGTCAGGGTAACCTTCCAATGGCATGGTTCCCTCACTGTCATTCATGATTAGGACAGGTGGTGTTTTAGTGCAATTTCTCTTATGCTCAAGGAATTCAGAGAAGTCAAAGAACTCTGCACAGCATTTGTCACAGATGTTGGTTTCCTCCGTCCGGCACCTTTTGGAACTCATTTCATCACCTCTGTCACCTGGGGCATCTTGTGGATTCCCTGGAAGAACACCAGAAAAAGAGAAGGCATTTCAGACCAGACCAAATATATGACAGAGAAAAACAAGACTGGAGATCTAAGGTCAGAAGAGGTTAGTAGACCAAGACATTTAAAGGATGGAATTGAAGAGATTTCTATGTTTCCCCCTGCAAAAACAAACAAACAAGGTTCTATTTCTGCCACAGAATAAAGCAACTGAATTGACAGATTTTACAAAAATTGCATCTTTTAAGATTCTAATGGAATATAAGGACACAAAAATTCAAGATTTTCAAAAGCAGTGGTTTGAAATAAATTAGCCAGAAATAAGCCTATCCAAGTCATCAATACAATTACTTCTAAGATATTCATTGGCCAGAACTTTATTATTTATACCCTCCAGCATAAGTCCATTGATGCAAATCTCAGCTCTGAATTGCTGCAAGTTAAGAAGTCAGTGGTAGCATTTCTTCTCTAACACCAGTCATGTGACTACAAATGCCTGTGCTGACTTCTTAATTTGTGGCAATTCACATTTAAAATGTGAGCCAATAGACTTATTGGTAACATATGTTTTAATACTAATGTAAGCAATGAAGAAATTAGAAAAGATCATTAAGTATAAAGGTGTGTCGCAGGAGATCAAGATCATCCAGACTCCAGTATTTCCAGTTCCCATGTACGGATGTGAAAGCTGGACAATAAAGAAAGCTGACAGGAAAAATATTGATTTGTTTGAAATATGGTGCTGGAGGAGAATGTGGATACCTTGGACTGCCATCAAGACAAATACAGTGGGGTCTTGACTTGAGAACTTAATCCGTATTGGAAGGCGGTTCTCAAGTCAAAAAGTTCTCAGGTCAAATCTGCATTTCCCATAGGAATGCATTGAAAACCATTTGATCCGTATCTGCTCTTTTCCGTCCATAGAAACTAATGGGAAGCTGCTATTCCACCTTCGACCACCAGAGGGGGATATTTTGTTTCTTTTTTTCTTAGGTCAAGAAAGGTTCAGGGAAGGCAGGGAAAAGACAGTCCAGGCAGTACAGTACCAGGCAGTCTGAAGACTGTCTCCCAATCCACTCTCTAAACGCTGGGAGGAGTGAGGAAGCAGACAGGCACCCTTTTCACTGGCCAACAGTTAACTGAAAGTTCACATTTTGCACTTTCCCTGCCTCCCACGTGGTTTTTTTTTCAGTTCTTAACTCAAATCTAAGTACATAAGTCAAGTCAATATTTTTCTATGAGAGTGGTTCTTAAGTCAAAATGTTCTTAACTCAAGCCGTTCTTAAGTCAAGACCCCACTGTAAGTGGCTCCTAGATCAAACCAAGCTTGAATTATTTCTGGAGGCAAAAATGTTGAAACTGAGGCTGTCCTACTTTGGGCACATCATGGGAAAGCAGGATTCTCTGGAAAAGACAAAAACGCTGGGAAAGGTGGAAGGCAGCAGGAAAAGAGGAAGACCAAATACAAGACGGACTGACTTCCTAAAGAAACCCACTGGCTTGAGTTTACAAAAACTGAGCAGGGCAACTGAAGGCAGGGCATTTCGAGATTGCTCATTTATAGGGTCTCTGTAAGTCGGAGGTGACTCGGCAGCACATAACAAGTTTTATTTGAGAATACAAGTTTTATTATTCATTGGTTTGCTTTTTATGCTGTCTTTCTTCTAATGAAGCTCAGGAATTTTCAGTTGGATCCTTGTCCCTAGGCATTAAAAGCAGAGAAGAAAAAGAGGAGGACAAATGTTTTGGGGTCCCTCCAGAACTCTTCATGGGTCTTGCCATTAGAAAAATTGGAATGGGGAGGAAGCAGAAAAGTTCAAAAATAATGTTACCAGACACAAATGCACAACTGCACACATCCATGCACACATGTACTTGAAAGTATTATCCAGTGTTGACTTTTGAGTTTACTCAGGACCTCCATGGTTTCTTTTTAAATACAACTCTGCGCCGTATTTATGAAGGAAAACAAGCAGCAGCCAGGTAGCATATTTAAAATGCTAATTGGGAAAAATTCAGGTTCCTTTAAACAATCTGGAATAGTAGGTACAGGTACAGTCTTCCTACACCCACAATGAGATGCACACACTCTGAATCATTTATACTAATAAAAGTTTCTGTGGTAGAGTTATTGGAAAGTGTCAAGGTCCGTTGGAACAAAAGATGCATGTTTTTCCTCCCAAGAAAAAAATAATGCGGCTGGCATGTTTTAATGTCAACGAACCACTATGGCTTCCCACACAGGAATGAAGGAAGAGTCTTTGAAGTAAATTTGTTTGAAGTAGAACAAATAAAACTGTAATTGGAAAATGACCTGAGCTGCTGGGTTTGTTTGCAAACTCTCTTTCAGCAATGCTGCAGAAAACTCTTCAACAGAGTTCTTGTTTACTATTAACATTTAAAGAAGATGGCTCCTGAAGACAGCTTCTACTAGTCTACAAGGCCCTCTCCTGTTCTTGTAAAAACAACACTTTCCATCATTAGTAGACTCAATAGAGTCTTCCTATCCCTAGTGTGTTAGCTGGCATGGTAGCTCAGTGGTTTAGGTATCTGGCTGTGGAGCGAGAGACTGGAAGTTCAATCCCCCCACTGTGCCCCATGGGAGAAGAGCCAGCTTTTGTGGCCTTGGGGCAAGCTGCACAATCCCAGGGTGCCCCCAGAAGAAGGGAATGGAGAACCACTTCTGAGGCCTCTCTAGCTGGAAAAACCTGAAATGGGTCACCATATGTCAGATCTAACTTCATGGCACATTTTTTGTTGTTGTTGTATGTAGTAGTATATAATATAAACAACAACAACAACAATATATTCCTGGTGCACTGACTGGATATATCAGTGGGAGTTAGTGAGAGAAAAAGGACCAGTGTCAAGACAGTTTGTTTTCTCAGAAGAAAAGATGACAGCTGTACACGTGTAGAAGTCACTCTGCCTGTTGCTTCTACCTTAGTTCCATATTGGTGAGGGGAGTGCATTCCTCAAACTATCTGAGACACAAGTCTAATCTAGGAAGACCAGGAGAAGTTGTGTAGAAGAGGGGAACAGCTATGGATCTCTGGAGAAACAGCCAGGAGGCTGCCATGGCAGAAGCCCAGTATCTGCTGGACGAGGTACATAACAGCAGGACTGAAGCAGCCCAAGAAAAATGTCAACCAAGGACAACAAAAAACAGTGATCTGAAATCAAGGGGCTCCTTACGCAACCATGCTGAGCCCCTGATGCTTCACAACGAGGTTACGCAGCTCTCAGGAAGCCTCAGAACTTTCTGGAAACTGTCCTATTGATCCTTCTAACTTTGCTCAGAGGAAGGGATTCCCCAAAGAAGAACTGGTTCTCCACCCCCACCCCTCATTTTTCACTGAACAAAAAACACTGTTGAAAAATGATGTTTAAAAGTGAAATTTTACCCTTACCAGTTACAATGTAAGTGTACACAACTGTAACAACAAATCATGCATGAGGAAAATAGGGAAACCAAACTTTGGAAGCCAAGAGGCAACCAGCAAAACAATGGAAATAAGACACAGTCTATTTCAGAAATATCTTGAGTAGGCGAAACAGATCAAACTGAAATAGTAATGAGGTGTTCTTCCACTTGTAGAGAGGGTTTTGAACTGGTTCACTGGAGGCCTGTAATAGATGACTGGAAGTTGCTGTTTTACTGCTCTATCTCCTGCTACGTCTGTGTTTGAATGCTGAGGATTCTGTGGAACAGGGTAGGAGGCCCTGTGGGAGACTGTGAAGGAAGAAGGGTTTTTTAAAAATGCTCTTTTTTTCCTCCCATGCTTTCCATTAGCAGAGAGGTATCTGCTGACATCAGAAGCCTTTCCATCAGATACGACAGCAGAAGCAGGGGCAAAACTTTCTGCAGCTCTTTTAGATCACAGGCAGGCATATGCAGAGTTTTATATACACATTTGTTGGGAAAGATTTATTGTAGTCCTTTGGGCACTCTTGTACACATTTTAGCAAAGACGTAACGGAAGAGGCAATGTTATATATCCTCACCCAAACATCACTCTTCAAAGCAGAGGACAGCACATGCAGAGTGATAAGACTATAGGGCCATCTTTTGTATTCATGTAGAGCAGTGATTCCCAACCTTGAGGGAATGGAGACATAGAATGATGTGCCTTTGGAATAAATGGAGAAGCACCATTCTCTGATCATGCTTTTGCTTAAATATCAGCAAGAATACCGAAACAGGGCTTGAGATGATGAAAATTAGGGACAGCACGTTATTTGCAATAGAGGATAAGAATGCTTCATATGGTTCAGCTTGAAAAAAGGGAGCCCTCCCTCAATTGTTTCCTGGGACTTGCCTCACTGCCCCATAAGAGGGTAGTTCACTGAGAAGTGCCCTCAATAATGGGTCATGGGTAACCCTATCCATTGACCAGTGGGATGATTCTGAGGAAGCAATAGGAGTGAGGGGCATTCCCTTCGGCTTCCCAACTTGCATTCAATGCAAAACCTGTCCAGGCAAAGTGGTTAAGGGTTCTCTAATATCCTGATAACAAGTATAGTAGACTTTGAAGGAAACAGGATTCATCCCTCTACTGTTGCCCAGCTCTCAACCTTGGTTGCCCTTTGTTTTACTTCAACCTCTAGAATCCCTGGTAAGGATGGCCAATTGTTAGGGATTCTGGGAGCTGAAATCCAAGAAGAGAACCCAAGGATGAGAACTGGGCAACAGCGGAGGGGCATATATTTTTTCCTTCGAGTCAACCATACTTGTCATCATTAGTATTAGAAAATCCTTACCTCTTTGCCTGGACAGGTTTTGCACTGAATGCAAGCCTTTATGTTCTCTTGTAGAAAAACCAGCTGACTTTCATGGGGGAAGTTGGTTTTCCCGTCATATCAATGGTCATGGAATTAATCGTCATCTCCATGTCTCTCTTCTGTTTAAATAGCCAAAACTGTAAGATTTAACAGTGACAAAATAAGATTTAACAGTGACAAGAGATATGCTTATGGAACTCATAGAAGCATGGCCTTATAGGAGTAGGTAAAAC